TTTAGACAAATTGGTGCGTACCTCGGATGCGCAGTGCGCCGACAATCACCTGGCCCGGGATAGCCGCCGCCTTCTCAGATGCGCTGGCCAGTGCAGCGCGTGTGGGAGATAAAGATACTTGCGTGGAGGGTGCATCGATGACCGTGGTGGCCGCACTCATGGAGCCGCCGTGGCAGCGACTCGAGCTAGAAGTCTAGACGCTTACAGTGAAGAGGGCTATAACAGTCTGGGATTCGTAGTAACACCCATCACAGTATTACAGAATACTTATGGAGTCTAGCATGATGGCTATAATATATTATTTTTTTTACATGTTAGTACGTGTAGTACACGGTGTATCACAGAGGTAATATTCTAAAACTAATCCTCAGAAATTAATAAATAATTCTAATCAAAATTATTTTTATTTTTAATTACCTTCACCCCCAGTTAAGAATTATTATCAGATTATTATTCCAGAGGAGGACATAGATGGTGACTTCGAGAGATCTGATTGGCCGGTGAACAAAAGATGTTTACTGGATGGCATTCAAACGAAAATAATTTAAATTTTTAATGGTTTTTTTATCTGGATGTCTACATGAGACTGCGTCAAACAAAATATATCTAATGAACCTAAGTACGAATCGCGATTTAAGGTTATTACTCGATAGGTGAACGTCTTAGCTATCTATTGACGTCTAATTTGGTTGAGGTGATACAGAGGTCGAGGTCGGCAAAAAAAAATATCTCCATGTTGGACGGGAAAACTCGAATTTTTTTATTGTTGATCTAGACGTAAAATTAAGCAAGAAATCTATTGGTGATATTCACTCAGTCTATTTTTGAGTCTAAAGTTGTGAAAAGTGCAATTAAATAGAGTGACTTCAAATCCTAAGGGGTATACTTGATTTTGTTTTGAAATTTAGACTTCTGATCATAAGTAACATTTTAATTTCCTTTGGACATAAGAAACATTGACCAACCGTCTGCTCATACTGGAGCTACATCATCACCAACCTGCAGTCTTTCGCTTCTTTGCCTGCGGACGTGGTGTTTTGGCCGTCGGGGCCTTTTTTTACTTCACAGGCGCTGGTGCGCCATCATAGATTGACTCGGAATTGTCATCTGCACCCTCTCTTCCGCGCTGATCTTGACTTCGTTTGGCTGCTACCGTTGCGGATACGAGTTTTGTAACGCTGAATAGTCATCGGAACACACCATAGCAGAGTGCCACTGTAGATCGACAAAACTGGTCAACAAATGGCAGAAAATAAAGGAATTTATCGCGTTCCCCTTGCCGCGCTTGCGCTCTGCCGTCGGAGCGATCATGAAAAGTGCCAGCAGCGTGTGCAAACTTGTCATG